ACACACACACACACACACACACACACACACACACACACACTGCTTTCATCTGTCTTCAGTTCCACAGTGCATTGTCAATAGTCTTTAATCACCTGACAGCCTCTCTGGAGTATGTGCTATATTTTGCACAAACATTCTTCTTTCAGACATTTCAGTTGCTTCTGGGTTTTCCAGTCATACACAGTTCTGAACAGGCACGGTGCCTTTTCACATGCGATTACTTTCCTAGGGTCCCAGCCAGGCAATGACTACACAGCTTTGAGTAACACATGGCCAGGTTTTCAGAACAGGAAGCACCAAAGTCTGAGATTCCATACTAGTTTGTTCTGCGGGTTTAAAAATAACGAATATTAAGGAACAGACTGTGGTACCCAGATGGGGATTTCAGCAAGTACATGAGGTTTTTGGTGTGCTTCTGTTTACTAGCAAAGCGGAGGACCTAAACTTAAAAGAAACAATTCCGTAGAGTTACAAGCAAAGATGCATAGGACTTGGTGTTCTGCTGTGATGATAGCTTTTATATTTAGGTCTCTGACGGGACAAGTAGGAAACTCTTGTTTTGCCCCCAGGCTTTGGGCAGCAGCTGGGTTCACAGCACCTAATACATTGACATTCTGGACCTGTTGCCATTCAACACTAACCCAAGAAACCCAGCTGCTTTGGATGCTGGGCGAACTGGCAGCAAGCAAGGCTGGCATTCTGCTAGGGATGCCTCTGCTTGAATGGGAGCCCAGATGGGGAGCAGGAACTTTTCAGTGCCTGTATTCTAACTTTGGAACTCACAAGTGTCCACTTGGAGTCGGAGGGGTCCACATAGCATTGTTCATTCTGTTTGGGTCATGTAAGCACCACATCACCAATCTTTTATGTGGCACCTGCTTTTGAGCAGCCTTAACTTATGGGACTGTTAACAGTCTTCTCTGCTAAATGTATTTTTAGGTCACCCCAAATTCATTGTTAAGTAGAGACACCTTCAAATAGAATAATTAATTAGTTTTCAGTGCTGAGAACTCAGTTCAGAGGCTCAGGCAAGCACTTGTTCACTGCACTGCAGTCTTAGCCCCTGGGACATTTCTTTAGTTTTAACTATTTGAATCCTAAGACTATCTGCAGATTTTAAAAATTTGAGCAGCATAAATAGAAAGTTTCTGAAAGTGTGGTATCTATAAAGGCAGGTTAATTTCTGCTTTTATTATTTGACACTGATTAATCTTTGTTAAAACTTGACAGGATTTAATCCCAGCACTCAGGCAAAGGCAGGTGGATATCTGTAAGTTCGAGGCTAGCCTGATCTACAGATTGAGTTCTGGGATAGCCAGAACAACATAGTGAGACCCTGTCTCAAACAAACAAACAAAACTGAAAAGGCAAACAAACAAAAACACAACAACAACAAAACTTGAGGAGCTATTAAGGACGATAGCATGGTGGAATGCTGACATTAGATCTGTGGAGAGGCTCTCCTTATCCACTTAGTCACAGAGTTCTAGAAGTGGGAGCCCTAAAGGGATGTGCCTATCTAGATCTGTTTGAAGATCATAGAAGTTCTGACTATTGTGGCTCAGAAGTTGAAAATGGATGAATACATTTCCCTTCAAATCATCTCTTGTCCAGAGCCGTTTCTGGATTTGTTTTTCTAGTGAGAGTTGTGAGTTTGTTCTATTTGAATTCACTTAGTCTCCACGCCAGGCAGTGTATGGAGAGAGGAAGGCTTCTCTAAAGTACAGCATAAGTTCTAGTGAAGGCTGCAGTGTAAGCAGAAACAGAAGGGAGCCCCAAAGAGAAGTAGGGTGCTAAAAGGAATTTGTGAGCCAAGAAATCGGTCAAGGGGTTGGCAAAATGTAAACAAATGTAGGTGGGTAGAATAGAATGCTTAAAACAAGCTAGAAATCAAATGCTAGACCATACTGTGAGCTTGGGCAAAGGGGATTAGACTATGAAGGAATTCTGGTATCCTTGACATTGTTTGAGTGGTATTGATTTACTTCACAGTCTAACAAGGACCCATATATTCATATAATCTTAAGAATAACCACCAGTGAATACAAGCCCTGAGTGTTCCAAGCCTGAAAATGGAAATAAAGAAAAAGGGGGAGGAAAGCATCATTCATAAATAACAAAGCAAGATACGTCCAATATATCGATAATGTGTATGTAGATTTCTACACTCAAGCTTTTGGTTGGGTGTTGGTTT